TTTTTTTTTTTTACCTGTCACAGTTGACATTGGGATCTATCTTGACGGTAACGGTGACGTGGCAGAGGTTAGGCAGCCGCTGGGCCTTGTCCAGGTTAACGGGCAGTGAGTTGGCAATCCCCTTGAAGCACTGGCAGATGGCCCGGCGGTCCCCGGTGGATGACATGACCATCTTGTCCAGCGACTGGACGGCGGCGCAGCAGGCAGCGTTGGGCTGGGCCTCCCCGCTTAGCAGGTAGGCCTCGCATGGGAGCACCTGGGAGACCGCGTCGTTGCACTGGATCTCAGCCCAAACCCGCGGGCCCAATGCGACCAGGCCAACTAGAGCCAGGGCCCAGAAACAGCTCACAGTAGAGCAGCCTGCCATGAACTGATTAGAAAAAATGGATGAGTGTTTGTGATGGGATGATGAAGGCAAGTGTGCCTTATTTATAATGAGAGAGAAGCATAGTTTTTAAACCCGGTCCGGAAATCGACCCGGACAGATCTCCGGGTCAGCGGGTCACCGGTTCTACCGCCAGGTCAGCGGGGCCAATTGTTGAACTAGATAATTAATTTTAAATTTTTTTAAAATTATATATTTAGTATTTTTTACCATAGTTGTTAAATCCGGCCCGGTAATCGACCCGGACAGGTCTTCGGGTCACCGGTTCAACCGCCGGGTCACCGAGTCAATTGTTGAACCGGATAATTAATTTTAAAATTTATAAAATTACATATAGAGTATTTTGTGATATATAAATATACATAAAAATAACAAAATTAAATGTTTTGTATGTAAAATTTGTAGATTAAAGTGGTAATAATATGTATATATTTACCATATAAATATAAATGCATAGTTTTATTTTTTAAAAAGAAAAAGAAAATTAAAAAACAAAAAAAAAAAAATAATATAGGGACCGGGTCAACCGGGTTGACCCAGTCGGGTCAGTGTCCCGAGTTGATCGGGTCAAGGCCGGGTCGACCGGGTTTTGACCAGGTTTGACCGGGTCCGTTGTTGGCCAGTCCAAATAGCCCACCCGGACCGGTTCCGGTCTCCGGGTCGACCGGGTCCCAGGTCGACCCGCCGAGCCGGTCCGAGTCACAAAACACTGTTTTTGACATATAAAGATAAATAAACTGATAAAAGTAACAAAAAATAAATGTTTTGTATTCACAATAAATATTTACTATGTCATTATATAAACATAGTTTTTATTTTGATCGGGTTTGACCGAGTCCAATGCTACCCGGTCCAAATAGCCTACTCGGACAGGTTTCGGCTCCGAATCGACCGAGTCCCGGTCACCGGGCCGGTCCGGTCACAAAACAATGGAGAGAAGAATAAAAATATTGGTGTGCATTTACTATTTAGGTGAATATTTGTTAGGTGACATTTACTATTTAGGTGGTGATTTATTGAATATTGTTAGGGGTTTTTGGAGGTAATTAAGTAGATGACTAGATGAATTTTGTATGCATGCGACGCAACATCTCAGCACTGGCTGTTTAATCGAAATTGTTCATATTACATATCATCAAATATTTATTTTGGTAAAAAAAATATAAAACAATGATATATCCTTATAAATAAATTTTAAAATGATTTATCAAACTAAATTATAATATATATATATATATGTATATATACAAACTACAAATTATCTTATGAAGCAATAGAAATTGATTTATCTTACCATATCATCAAATATTTATTTTCATAAATAAAATATATAAACTAAGTATGAACATAAAATAAATGTAACTTTTTTTTTTTGTGTCTCAACTTAAATAAATATTACAAAGAGGTTGAACCTTATAATGATAACAAAAATAAAAAAAAAATGAAAAAAAAGGAAAATTTTATTAAAAAAAATAAAAACCAATTACTAGATTTCATAAAGTTTCTCTTTCCTTTTTTTTTTTGGTACAAGGACCTTCCGGTTTCCGGATCCACATAGGAACCGACTAATTCGAAATCGAGCCGGGTAGGACTACAAGGGCGGCAAAGCTCTCCCTCAAGAGTTTTAACACTGCTGCATTCCCAGGGCTCGAACACGAGACCCCTGGTTAAGCTGGAAGAGACCCAAACCATCTCATCCAAGTCGACCAGCTTTCGCCCCTCACTTTACCTCTCTTCAAAGTCGACCAGCTTTCGCCCTTTATCTCTCCTCAAAGAGTTCTATTATAAAAATACTACACCCATACACATTAATTTTTATTGAATATTATAAAGTTGAAGATATTTATAAATATGGATGAGAGAATATAATTTGCGTATATAAAATATTAATCAAACATGAAAAAAATTATTCATAATAAAACTATTGAGTCGTGAATAATATAAATACATATATGCGTATTAAAAATTATTATTTGAACAAATTGATTGTAAAATATATGTATTCCTTTAATAACTTTGTTAATTTTGTATTTATTAGTTTTATGCATAGTTTTTTTTATCATTCTATTATAAGCATATAAATTTCTTTACTTATTTCATTTGGTACAAATATTTCATTTTAATTTTAATGAACCCTTGTTTTTCAAGGGCGTTATCTTAACTATAAAATAAATTAATTACTCTATTTAATTTTGAAAAAATTGAATCTTATTTTACAATAAGAATTATATTTCTTAATCATTCTTTGTTGCATAGTTAATTTTTCTTCAAAACACCCGTGTAGTTCACAGACGTTGTACTAATTAGTTGTAATTTGTTTCAAATGTTTCAAATGGATGCTAACATAGAAAATTCGCGCCATAAAGTCACATTCTAATCCGTTCTCATAACAACATAGAAATCACAACCATTAATAATAGAACATAACATATTCCCTTTCTACAATCGTCGAGATTGATCACGCCGCCGGTGGCGCACCGGGAATCAACGGTGGAAGACGGGGAGTGATCGGCGGAATTGGAATCAGCGGCGGCAGTAAGGGGGTGACCGGCGGAATCGGAATAAGCGGCGGCAGCCCTGGATTTGACGGCGGCAGTAAGCGAGCGAGCGGCGGAATCGGAACCAGCGGCGGGAGTAAGGAATTGGCCGGCGGAAACGGAATCAGCGGTGGCAGCCCGGGAGTCCGCGGTGGGAGAAGGGGAGTGACTGGTGGAATCGGAATCAGCGGCGGCAAACCGGGAATCAGCGGCGGCAGCAATGGAGGCAACTGCGGGATATTATTGGTGGCTTTGCTTGACGTCACTGATGGGGCCCTTGAAAGAAAACAATGTAATAATAATAATAATAATAATAATGGGAAATGGTCAGTTACGGAACCATTCTGTCGGGTTTGTAACCGTCCGGATAGTTGATCTAACGGCTACAAATCCCGACGGAATTGTCGCTAACGAAACAGCATCTCCTAATAATAATAATAATAATAACAATAATATAATTTTAATTTATGCTTACAAGCAATTGACAAGAGGCGAAAACCCAGAAAGATTGCAGAGACTATGAAGCCTTTGAGCCTTGGCCGGAATAAATCCAAAGCCCAACGTATTTTGCCTCAAACAACCGCACAAACCCTCCTCGATTTCCCCATTTGCCGCCAGAATCTCGCCGGCGGCCGCACAACACTGATTATCAGGTGTGATTGGGGCAGGATTTTGCAAATAGTTCCGGCAAGGAATCACACGCGACACGACACTCAAACAATCCTTTCCCATGACATTGTGAATCAGAGCAAACAAACACGCCACAGCCATCAGTTTCGCCATGGCTGACAAAACTTCTAAATTTAATTTAATTTTTATTTTACTTGATAAAAAAAAATAAAACAGTAGGGATTTATAGATTATAGTGAAGGAGTGTTAGGGTAAGGTGAAAACTGAAAAGACAGTAGTAGGATCCGAGTTGTTGTCATTTGGGCATAAAAGGAAAATATTAGGGAGTTGAGGCCTTTTTTGGTAAATTAGATTGTGGGGATTGGTAAGTGAGTGAATTTGCTTACTAAGTCTTAATTTTGGCCAAATTGTAGTTTAGCTGTCAATTAATTGATTTTCACTTTATAAAATTTTTCATTAAATTGTGATAAAATTTGCCAACTAATTAAGGTTTGTAATTTCCAGCCTTTTTTCACATTCTATGATTTGGGTGTTCTTTTTGTAGGTGAAATTTTAGGTTGTGATTTTGTATGGAATTAATTAAGGAGGATAATAAAAAGAAATTTAATTTTTGCTTTTACTTTTGGTAAATCAGTAATGGACATGATAATGTAACTATACAAGGCAGGATAGTTGGCAGAAATGTTTTCCTACTATCGGTGGGCACATGTTAATATGCCCACCGCTTATGTGTCATGCACACATTGGTGATGTATTTTTTTTAACATATTAACATCACCAATGCGTGCATGCTACATAAACGGTGGACATATTAACATGTGTCCACCGTGGGTAGAGAAGCATAAAAAAAAAAGATAGTTGGATACATATAACACATAGGCTTTGTTTGGTAATTAGCTGTTAGCTTTAGCGGATAGCGGATTGTAATAGCTGTTTTGACCAACTGTTAATATTGGCTGTTTTGACCGGTTGATACTATTAGCGGCTCAAAAAAATGTTTGGTTAGATAGCTTATTGATTTGTAAAAATATATGTAATATTATTAACTTACTTATTTTGTTATATATATAAATATTTAAAAAGCAATAAATACCAATTGTATTTATTTAATTTTGTATCAACAAATGTTAAATTGATTCTTAAATTAAACTAGTATGTAACCCGTGCGATGCACGGGCTGTATTTACTTTGGAGAATATTAAAAATTAAAATGTATTAATTAATAAAAGAGTGATAATTCGTAGGAAAATTATCAAACCATAAACTGTTCATCATGCAAAAAAATATATTATTTAAATTTTCTGTACACAACATTATTTATTCAATAACTGGGCAACTCGTCGTCTCCACAAACTAATATTTTCAACACTTTTCTATTACTTACACGCGAAACAACATAATTGTCCGTGACTAAAAATCGATTTCTTTAAGAACATGCCAACGTACAATAAATGTTGATCTTAACTCTTCTTGATCTATTACTTAACACGCCAACGTACAATAAATGTTGACCTTGACTCTTCTTGACATATTATTTACACGATTAACAACATACAATTGGTCGTGATAAAAAAAAAAAATTAAGAACATGTCAATGCATATCTCTTATCTATTACTTACACGTAAAAACAACAACATATAATCGGTCGTTGCTAAGAACCGATTTCTTTAATTTATGCCAACGCACATAAAGACTGACCCTGATCTTAAATGAAACCCTAAGATTAGAAATAACTGGTGCTGTAGAACTTAAATGAAATTCTTAAAAAGAATCTTTAATTGACAATTATTAATTAAATGTTTTATGTTGTACTA